CATCGCGGGAGTTCACAAAAGTCTGTACAACACAATCGAACAGGGGGTCCACAACAAGTTTCTACACTCGTCACGGTGGTTCACAAAAGTCTGTACAACACACTCGACAGGGGGTCCACAACAAGTTTCTACACACATCGCGGGAGTTCACAAAAGTCTGTACAACACACTCGAACAGGGGGTCCACAACAAGTTTCTACACACGTCGCGGGTGTTCACAAAAGTCTGTACAACACACTCGACAGGGGGTTCACAACAAGTTTCTACACACGTCGCGGGAGTTCACAAAAGTCTGTACAACACAATCAAACAAGGGGTCCACACATCCTGCTGTTAAAAACGCATACTAAAAACAACGCGAAATCCTAAAAGAACCAGAACGAGAGAGCAAATATGTCTCTAAACAAATATTTGTGAAAAGATAATTACGGTATATAGAGAGACAATTGATTTTCATTAAAGGAACTAAGAATCTAATCCAATGACCTCTCGAAGTTCTCGAGAGCGGTAAAATAAATTAGACGTGTCTTATGATAATGCAGTGGGACACAGCAGATCAATTCTGTCACTGGACCTGTAGGAGAACATAACACTGGACCTGTAGAGGAGCATGACACTGGACCTGTAGAGGAACATAACACTGGACCTGTAGAGGGGCATAACACTGGACCTGTAGGGGAACATAACACTGGACCTGTAGGGGAGCATAACACTGGACCTGCAGAGGTGTATAACACTGGACCTGTAGGGGAGCATAACACGGGACCTGGAGAGGAGCATAACACTGGACCTGTAGGGGAGCATAACACGGGACCTGGAGAGGAGCATAACACTGGACCTGTAGGGGAGCCTAACACTGGGCCTGTAGGGGAACATAACACTGGACCTGTAGAGGAACATAACACGGGACCTGTAGAGGAGCATAACACTGGGCCTGTAGGGGAGCATAACACTGGGCCTGTAGAGGAGCATAACACTGGCCCTGTAGAGGAGCATACGAGGAACTAAGAATCTAATCCAATGACCTCTCGAAGTTCTCGAGAGCGGTAAAATAAAGTAGACGTGTCTTATGATAATGCAGTGGGACAAAGCAGATCAATTCTGTCACTGGGCCTGTAGGAGAACATAACACTGGACCTGTAGAGGGGCATAACACTGGACCTGTAGGGGAACATAACACTGGACCTGTAGGGGAGCATAACACGGGACCTGGAGAGGAGCATAACACTGGACCTGTAGGGGAGCATAACACGGGACCTGGAGAGGAGCATAACACTGGACCTGTAGGGGAGCCTAACACTGGGCCTGTAGAGGAGCATAACACTGGCCCTGTAGGGGAGCATAACACTGGGCCTGTAGGGGAACATAACACTGGACCTGTAGAGAAACATAACACTGGACCTGTAGAGGAACATAACAATGGACCTGTAGAGGAACATAACACTGGACCTGTAGGGGTACATAACACTGGACCTGTAGAGGAGCATAACAGTGGGCCTGTAGAGGAGCATAACACTGGACCTGTAGAGGACCATAACACTGGACCTGTAAGGGAGCATAACACTGGACCTGTAGGGGAACATAACACTGGACCTGTAGGGGAGCATAACACTGAACCTGTAGGGGAACATAACACTGGACCTGTAGAGGAGCATAGCACTGGACCTGTAGGGGAACATAACACTGGACCTGTAGGGGAACATAACACTGGACCTGTAGAGGAGCATAGCACTGGACCTGTAGGGGAACATAACACTGGACCTGTAGAGAAACATAACACTGGACCTGTAGAGGAGCATAACACTGGAGTCACTGGACCTGTAGGAGAACATAACACTGGACCTTTAGAGGAGCATGACACTGGACCTGTAGAGGAGCATAACACTGGGCCTGTAGAGGAACATAACACTGGACCTGTAAGGGAGCATAACACTGGACCTGTAGGGGAACATAACACTGGACCTGTAGAGGAACATAACAATGGACCTGTAGAGGAACATAACACTGGACCTGTAAGGGAGCATAACACTGGACCTGTAGGGGAACATAACACTGGACCTGTAGAGGAACATAACACTGGGCCTGTAGAGGAGCATAACACTGGACCTGTAGGGGAGCATAACACTGGGCCTGTAGAGGAGCATAACACTGGACCTGTAGAGGAGCATACGAGCTTTTCATTGATGATGTTTTTAGAATAATTAGTCATCTACCTGTATTTGTACACACCCTACTTAATCAATTTTAAAGAATCGATCAAAATGTCTATTCATATGTCATATTAAAACTAGCTTTGTTCGGGAAGTCAGCGGCGCTGGGATTTCAAGAGTGCGAAATAAAAGCTTGTCATGACAATTTGAAGCAGCTGGAGTATGGATCGATTCTAAGCCATTCTCAATCTAATTTGGAACTTTAGCTGTACGGTAAAGTGTCGTTAATTTCCTGTGGAAAACTGTACCTATTACCAAAACTTTACCTATTACCAAAACTTTACCTATTACCAAAACTGTACCTATAACCAAAACTGTACCTATTACTAAAACTGTACCTATTACTAAAACGGTACCTATTACCAAAACGGTACCTATTACCAAAACTGTACCTATTACCAAAACTGTACCTATTACCAAAACTGTACCTATTACCAAAACTGTACCTATTACCAAAACTGTACCTATAACCAAAACTGTACCTATTACTAAAACTGTAGCTATTACTAAAACGGTACCTATTGCCAAAACTGTACCTATTACCAAAACAGTACCTATTACTAAAACGGTACCTATTACCAAAACTGTACCTATTACCAAAACTGTACCTATTACCAAAAATGTACCAATTACCAAAACTGTACCTATAACCAAAACTGTACCTATTACCAAAACTTTACCTATTACCAAAACTGTACCTATTATCAAAACTGTACCTATTACCAAAACTGTACCTATTACCAAAACTATGCCTATTACCAAAACTGTACCTATTTACCAAAACTGTATTTATTACTAAAACTGTACCTATTACCAAAACTGTACCTATAACCAAAACTGTACCTACTACCAAAACTGTACCTATTACCAAAACTCTAAAGTGCAATCACCTGTGTGTGTCATGCATTCATATTCATCTCTTAGTAATTTAGATATTATATTTGGAAAATTTCTACAAATCTTGTTGCTACATTCTCTCCTTGGTTTACCTTCCTTACAATCACTAGAGTCATTTATAATGACGAGTGCCTAGAGAGAAAACGGCGATTCTGCACCCATGTCGGTCGTCTCTTACACTAGCATGCCGTCGGAACAGCAAGCCTAGTCTGTCCCGAAACCTGCAGGGGTCTGGGTCCCATAAACAGATACATATAAGTGATTGAAGAATGCATTTACAATAGGAATCCTGCATACTCGTGTCAACTCATCCTATTCCAAGTCTTAACGCATGTGTAGCTTTATCAATTTGATTTGTTTCGATACATGCGTTAGATGTCGGTCAATATTTAACTTATTTCTGAAAGGAAGAACTTGATGTTTCACTGCGTTGACACCTGCTATCCACTGCACTGCTACTCCTCTTACGTACAACAGATTTGTTTGTTAACGCCTTACTTGGGGCAATATCTCACTTTTGGCGTTTGCGTAGAACATTCGCCAAAGTGGGGAAGGCAATGATTTTTGTCCCCAAACTGACATATCAAAGTCGTTACAACTGGTAGTTGTTGTTCCCCGACAAACGTTCACTATTTATGGTAGCCGGGTGGAATGCTGTTTATGGTGCCTTCGGTATGGTATTTCAGTGAGGCAGCTCTCTATAGTGGGTATCAGATTGGCGATATCAAAGGAGTCAAATACATCAACATACCATCTCCAGTACATGTATACATTACCCACATGAAGGCATGTCCTTGGATATCTAAGCTATTTTTATAACGCTAAACAAAATTAAACCAAAAACAAAGCCCCTATTGTGTACTCAGTGCAAGGTAAATAATACCATCGTGGCTGTATATTTTGTATTGTATCATGCCACCGCCATAAAAAAGGGGGGGAGGGGCATACAGTATCGTCCCGTCGCGATTCAATGCAAACTACCTAGTTACGAAATTCTTCGACGAATTTTGATCAAACTGTATACAAAGGTCAAGTGTGAGAATACCTCTGACATCTTTGTGTTTAAAGGTTACGTTGCTGTATATAGAAAAGCATCAACAGATTCATTGTCAACACTCTAACTGCACCTTGTACTTCATTTCTTAACAGATTTCCATCAATGTTCATTAATATAGACTTCAGTATGAGAATAACTCAGATGGGTTCATGTTTCAGGATTCCAAGGTCAAAGCCAAGTGTCACCGTTGTTATTTATAGAAAATCATCAATAATTCAGTGTCATCAGTCTACCAAATTTATTTCCTGATAGATTTTGATGAAAATTTATACACATGTCAGGTATGGTAATACATCGGATGAGTGCATGTTTCAAAAGTCACTGCATGTTGCTATTCACAGAATGTTCTCTCTACATTTCTCTATTCATCAACTTGAATTTTGAAATACCTTGAATGCGTACATAGTTCAGGGTGCCAAGATCAAAGTCGTTGTAAATATTTATAGAACATTATCCAATATTAAAGCTAATTTCACATGACGGCGGGGGCATTCATGTCTTACAGACATTTTCTTGTTCCAGTCTATATTGTTAGGTGTTAATTAAGTGCGTGAATTATTTCTTTAAGATTACATCTATATGTCCATGATATGTGTCGTCAGCATATTGAGAAAGTATACTTAAAGTGGAACTTTCATTATATTGTCAAGTACATCTTATATTTTGTTATTTCTTACCATAATGGACATTGGTCACAAATGATAAAGACGACCGCTTGATGACATCGTCTCCGGTAACACTGCTTTCGAAACTCCGTGATAATCGACAGGTTATTCTGTTGACGAGGGATGTGGTGTGGTGACAAATGTGTGATCAAAGAGTAAATATGTTCTTTAAAATTAGAAATTTGTCTCCTGATTATCTGATTTTGACATAACAGTATCATTATTTGAAGGTAGCTACAGCTCTTTATTGTGTATAAATACATGTATATTATTATACACGTATATAAGCCATTGTTCCTATACCTGCGAATTCGTCCCAATCTGGTGCGCCCAACACTACTGAATGGAAGCATTCACCTGTAGTACTAATGTAGAGAGGCCTCAGAAGGCCTTACACGTGTACTCGGAACGAACTCCAGTTCAGTCGTGCAAGAAAATTGGTCTTCTGTCATGTAAAGACCACCTCTAACAAAACAGAGAATTCGGCACGTTTTGGAATGTTGCAGAAGCAAAACGGCGGACTGTGTTTTACAAAACATTGAATTATTTCTCTTTAACATTAAAATATAGAATATATATTGTGGTATTTTCCAGCGGTAAGAGAGAGAGCCCTGTCTACATTGAGGCATCTATTGCATGGCCTAAACGGAGCGAGAATACCAACTGTGGTCGAGCTATTTTTAGGTTTCTTTTAATGAGGCCTAGAGTAAAGTTTTCCTTATTTCAAATACTACCAACACAGATCTCCTATGTCATGTCTTTTCTACAGGTGACTTCTAACTATTTTACAGAAAGAAAAAAGCATTTCTAAGAATTTTGCCTTGAAGGATGTAATCAATTATGAGGAAATTGAATATTTTGTTACTGGGAGTGCAAAGCGCTTTACAAGGGTCACCATCCATTAACCACTTTTACGTCATAAGAGCTATCTTTACAGGACCCTGGCATCTTCTCAGTCGTAGAGAGATGTTGTCTTCAAACCTGTAGTACATCCTCGAAATTTCAAGGGTTGCGCTCACTTACGCAGCGGAGAACGTAAGTGAGCGTGACTTCTGCACTGTTTATGACTGTGCATGGATTCAAAAACGATTAGCATGTCATTGGTACCAAATCTTTAAATGAAACAGGTACAAAGTCAGATCTGACGCCCTCAATATGTGCTGATTATTTTCTACTGTGCAGAAAATTGGAGATCTGTTGTTGTTTTTTTTAAATCTACAGCGCAATGCCTAAGTCTGTTTCAGAGAATTTTGTGGTTAACTTCAGTTAACACCTTTGAGAAATCCATAACTAATGCATTTTTGTTTTGCTTTAAGCTTGCAAGAATTTTCATAATTATAAACACATTATAATTATTGTATTTCGCTAAATATAGATCTTCAAAAAACTTTGAGGAGAATATTCAGGGTCATGTTTGTTACTTTTCTATAAACCGTGATTGCATAAATGAACGGATTCCAATCTTTGGAGATTATGACGGGTTACAAGAATGAGTTGAATATATTTGCAATAACAAGGGCAACTTTATATGCAAATATATTCAAACTCATTTGGATATCCAAAGTTGACATTCTTTTCGTCTTGTGTAAATTCATTGGCAGATGAGTGAAGCTTAAATTAAAATTTATCAAACTCATGCATCATAGATAAAATTTGTTTGGAGACAGAGACGAGGAATTTAATAAACACGATGTCGTTATCAGAATGGCAGGTATAACTACATACGTATGTACATTTATTTGTGGATTTATCACCTTTGATCGTGAAATTTAATTCTTGCTTAGTGTGTATTTATTTAGAAATTGCTAATTTAGTAACTTTGTCCTTGAATAACAGCACGTAACGATTGGGTACGATTGGGTCACCTTATCTACATCCTCGATATACATGTGTTACGCTCACTTTCGCTCTCTACACACCTGAAAAATGTCATAGCAAAATTGAGGGCTAGAAGATAGCTGTTTGATTGGTGTCAGGTAAAAAAACAACCTGACTAATCGCTAGACTGATACCTGTCCTTTGGAGATTACAAAGGAGAGATGCCCGACTTCAAAGCCTGTCATTTTTACCGTTACGTGACCGAGAGATTCTTTTGATATATGTATACATCAAAGGATCGAACTAGTCTTCTAGTCTCATCAACAAGGTGACGCACACCGAGCCTTCAATTTTGCTATGACATATTCCAGGGGTGTAGAGAGCGAAAGTGAGCGTAACCCCTGGATATCGAGGATGTCTCATCTACAGCTTTTTCAGTCTGAAAATTGGTGACGGATTCCCTTCTTCGTTAAAACAATGAGCTCGATTTGTATGTAGAACTTTAACCCATGTGTTTGGTATGCTCTCCAAATGAAAACAGCAAAGAAGTCCAC